TTATAATAAACATAAACTTAAGAAATGTAAATAATATTAAAAAAAGTTTACAAATTAATTTAAAATAAGAAAACTATTAAAGAAATGATAATGAAAAATAATTTATAGAAACAATAATAAAATTAAACTATTGAAGTTTAAAATAAAAAATAATTATAACAAAAGTTAAATTAAATTAATAAAAAACAGGTTTTATATAAAAATTATTTATTTTATAAAAAACAAATAATAAATTAAGAACTGAAAATAATTAATTTACATAAAAATAAAAAAAGCTTAAAAAATGTGAAGTGAAAGCTTAAAAAATTTAAAATGCTGCCAATACAACAGTAAATTCCCGGGGAGCTCCGGGGAGCTCATAATATTTTTTGTAAGTTTCATTTTAGTTTCCAAAGAACTCGCACGAAGCTCCCTGGGACACCTCCTATGTCCACTTTTAAGAGTTCTCTGGAAGCTTTATTTAACAAGGGGAACACTAGGACTAAGGGTATTTTGATGCGCTATATACAGTTCTTGAGCGAAAAAGGAACGATACGTTCTTGTCAATAGCCCATAGTTTCAAAGAAATTGATTTTTAAAAAATGAGTTTAGTCGACTGATATACGGGCGGGATGCTTTATATGTTTGATCGTCGCTATTAAGCAAGAGCAGCTGTAGTACAATTGGTAAGACGTTAGCTTTATATGAAGTAGATCGCGTATTCAAATTTTTTACGTATACTTCCTTTTTTTATTAAAAATTTGTTTGTATCTATAATTATTTATATTATTGTAAATGTTCGAAAAAAATTATTTATTTAATTATATCTGTATATTTTTTGTAAATGAAATTTTTATTTATATATTTATATATTTATATAATAAATATATTTCTAAAAAAACATACTCGACATACGCTACATTCTAGTGACTGTCTACCACCGAAAGCTTTATAGGCTCCCAAAGATCCATAAGATTAATATCCCACTCAGAATTATAGTCTCCTCCATAAACACGGCTTTGTATCTTTTAGCAAATTCTTACACGAAATCATTTTAACTAGTCTGGAATTCAATGATAGACATGTGAATAATAGCTTTGAACTATACAGCACTCTTCCGGGTAAAAAAATCGATGATAAAGACGTGTTGATTTCCTTAGATGTCCCTATTTACGAATATTCCTCTAGAGTTTGCTATCGATAGCGATTACAAATAGATGGGAGTCTATCCGAAGAAAAACAACTGTACCTTTTGAAGAATTTATCGAAACTGTGAGGTTTACTTTGTCATCAACCTTTTTCACGTTCAATGGGGTGATATATAAGCAAACGTATGGAACTCCGATGGGATTATCTTTGTCTCCCCATAATCGCTGATCTAGTTCTACAAGATCTTGAGAATACAGCCGAATAAGCAGAAATGATATAAACTTCCCGTTTTATTACAGATATATTGATGATCTATTATTAGCTGCACCGATGGATCAAATTAACAACATTTTAAACATATTTAATGGTTTTCACGATAGATTCACTATTGAATATGAAAAAAATCGTAGCATCAGTTTCTTGGATCTTCTGCTGAGAATGATTGACAATACTATTATCATTGATTGATTTCACAAAGATACCTTTTCTGGACGCTACTTATCGTATTTGTCAAACATCCGATTTGCCATAAGATTGAAACAATATATTCTAATGAAAACAATTTAATCAAAATGATATCAATATGACGACAAAACTGTTATTTGTCGTCATGGTGTCAAGGAAATAATGAATATGATGAAAAATTGATACTATGAAGAGGTTATGCGCGATAAAATATTATAGAAAAATATGGAAATGAATATTTAGATTATAATTCTAGTATTATGTAGGAAAAACTTGATCAATGTCACGTTGACATTAAAATGATGGCATTATGATGAAATAATTTGTCTTGCTTGGTTATTTTTTATTTTATTTTAATTTTATTTTATTTTATTATTTTATTTAATTTTTTTTTATTTTATTTTTTATTTTATTTTATTTTATTTTAAAACATATTCTCGATGTTATTTCGTAATGTGTATTATTATTTCTACATTTTTCAAATGTTTAGGTCATAATTGCGTTTATTATGATATTACTGAAGATTTTGTGCAGCTGATGTTTAAATTTACGTGCGTGGTTCACATTACGTTCGGTACAAAAAATTTTATAACTTTTAAGAATCTTCACTATGATTTTGGTTTATACATTTAGAACTGTGAGGATCTAAGGACAAGAATCAATCATATTAAAAAATTGTACATTTGCTAAGCTATTTTTCTTGTTGAAAGCGGCCATTGTTATCTGCTACAAAACGTGCAATATAATGTAGTTTTAAGTGTTTAAAAAGTGTTATAAACGCAAATGCAGGAAACATGGATAAAAGACCAGTAAGTATATATTGTAGTATTTATTCATATTTGCTTATCGCATATTTATTTGACTCCGTAGGCCCGCAATCTATTGTAAGTAATTAAAGTTAAACTAGGTTAACCGATGTTTCTCAGTGAATGCGATTGTTGTTTAATTTATTAATATTCAATGCGAATACTGAAAATCTATAGTATATATAATATAAAGTACTTTATTAGTATATAAATTTTTAGTGTTTGCATTGAATATTGAAAACACAGCCTATAATAATTAATAATAAATTGAACAACAATTTCATTTCATCTTGTAAATACTGCTTAACTTAATTTAATTTCAATTACTTACAATAGTGAACTCGCAATGCCAGATAAATATGCGATATGTGTAGCTAATATGTGCAGCAAATGTACAGCAGATGTAAGATATGACCTATATCTAATCTCAAAGGATCGCGTTAAAAATAAAAATGTGAGAACTTTAAAAAAGAGAAATATAAAAAAATCTACACAGATTATACACATTTAAGTGCACTAAACAACTTTTTATAAGAATATTATAACTGTGTTCCGTTAATAATTGTTAATACTGAAAATCTATATAGGTTGCATTCCGTAACTCACTGCCAGTACTGTAATGCCATTCCGAAATTCATTCCAGTGTGCTGCGATAGCACTACGATAATAGATAGAATAATAATGTCATAAATTTTGTCATCACTTTCTGCTGCGGCTACTGTAGCTAAAAAGACGCAGCAGTCACAGTACAAAATAATGACGTTCGAGAAAGAAGAGTAACCCTACTCGATGTAGAAATAAATATTCAATATAAAATAATAATAAATAGAAGAAATAAAAAGAAGATGCACAAAAAGCATTGCGAGAAAATAAAGTAAATAAAGAAAATAAAGTAAATAAAAATAAAGTTTAATATTTATTATAACGGATTCGATTATTCGCGCTACACCAAGTTTGTATAAACATTATTATATACCTGAGTCGGAGATAATTGCTTTAATTATTTTTCGAGAGATCGTACATCTACCTGATTTTTCATCCTTTTTTAAGATTGGCTCTATTAATTCTAATATAAAAAAAATATATTCCGATGTAATCTAAAATAAATATATTTTAGTAAAATTACAGAAACAGTTTATTGTATTTACAAAGAACAAAACATTATAAAAATATATCGAAAGTGAATTTTAAATTCTTTGTTTGTATATCGAGATACTACATTTTCTACAATGTATTTTAGGTATAGAATTTGATCTACTTTTTTTTAATATTGTCACACTTCCATGACGGTCACTAGCACAATTCGTGCATCACGCGGAAATAAACAGAGGCTGTTTACAAAACAACGAATTTTAATAAGCACAACAACTAAATACACAGGTCGTGATACAATCTCGCGCTCGCAATTCGCTCCTAAAAACCATGATTCAATCTAGAACGCCTTCCCGAAACGGAATTCATTTAAACGAAACCCATCTAAACCACAGATTCGACTTTCCGGACATTCGGAAGAAACTTCGAAGATTATTTAACTCCCTATTTACTTGATTTCCTTCCTATCTAAAACCGAGACCTAAATCCAAGTTTGTGCCAAACTGAAAAACGTATGTGCGTCCGTCCGATAAATCAAACCGTGCTAAAATAATCAGTGTAAAAGCATTTTCTTTTACTCAATATCGCGTAAATACAAATTTAAGAAAAATAGAATTTGTTTTTGTTTTCATTAAAACGGAAAGAAATTAATTAATGAATGACTGACCTGGCATTTGGCGTACTTCCTCCGAGCTCTGTAAAAATTCAACTTCATGCCGCTGCACTGCTCGCTCCTCTCGAAGAAGACGAAGCTCCTCCTGCGTAGAACGGAGAACGGCTTCCTTCGACAAACTTGTCATCTCACCCTCCTCCGGCGTGCGCATACAAATCCTTTTTCTCGCCACACGAGTCATCGTTCTTAAGTCTTTCTGCAAGATTCTCGTGCCTCATCGTTCGGTTAATCTTTCGATATTTCCCAACGCGACGTCCATTGTCCGTTATCCCGGACGAGCTTTCAAAAATGTCACACTTCCGCGGCGCTCATTTGCACAACTCACACTCGCGCATCACGCAGAAATAAACAGGCCGTTTACAAAACGAACTTTAATAAGCACAACAATTAAATACACAAGTCGTGATACAATCTCACGCTCGCAATTCGCTCGCGCATTTTCTCTCAAACCCGTCTCACAATTCTCTTCGACGAATCATTCCTTTAATCAATCAATCGATAAACATAAACAACGACG